GATTGATATTCTACCACAGCGTCTGCAATTTTCTTCTGTGGAAAAACTGTTGTCCAAGCGACAATAATAATGAACGAGCGGCCGACCCTCAGAACAATGGACTGAGGAGGACGGGCAGCGGGTAGGCTGCCGAGCAGCCCAGCCCTACTAGGGGTAGCGTTTCAGGGGGGGACGATTCCGGGGTGTACATAGGGGATGCCTTGCCGGGGAAGACCTTTCCATTTCTACTTGTTTGAATTAAAATTAATAACATAATTAGTTCATATCAACTAGATTTTGATAAATTACTTGTCAAACCCTTGGGGGGAACGATTCCGGTCGCGGACATAGATTTTATACCAGCTGGTTGTCTGGTTTCGTGACGTCACGTTTAGCCTGGGGGGTGATGTTTCCGGGGGCGACCATTCCGGCGACCCAATATCACTACCTACTTCTTCAGGATCATCAACCAGCCCTTCAAAATCACTTAAATCTTCTTATAATGCACCACGTATAGGCCCCTATCACTACTTTTGATTTTTAACACTAAAACAATGATAAACGTAATAAAACACATCAGTCATCGGTCCGAGGGTAACCTAGCTGTTTACAAGTACGCAAGTCAGCTGTCTGTTACAATTACGATCGGCTCGGAGAACATAAAGCGCTTAGAGATAGACCTCTGGAGAAAGCGTAGAATATAACGAAAAGAACGATACCTAACTCGATCCAGTTCAATCCGATTCAGTCAGTCATAGAGCCTTCGCCGTAAACGATGTTCGTGCGTCGATTTTTCGACGAGTGTACCATAATAGTACCGTTACGTTAGGTTAGGTTAAGTAAAGTAATAACCTAACTTAACCTTACCTAACCTAACCTAACTTAACCTTGCGGGGCTTGAATTATATGTTTCTAGCTTTCTGAGAACCTCCTGATGACCGTAGTAAAATATGAAAAAAATTGGGGTTGACCAAGTAATTGCTCAGAATTACCATGGAAAATACACCGTTTAATTCATCATGAAAATCCGCACAATTTGGGTACTCACAACATGACTTTTGGGCAAAAAAGTGTTTTGCATTTTCAGCGTTACAAACAGTTGGCGGGTTTTTGAGATTAGATCTTGGATCATAATGAAAGATACACCATTGAATTTGTCATGGAATTACTCAAAGTTTGAGAAAAAAAAATTAAAACGTTGACCTTTGACCTCCATAAATACCGTTATTTACAAAAAAGATCTTTGGCTAATTTCAAACAAGAATGGTCCTCTTTGAGATCTTGTTAAATGTGTGACGTAGTTAGTTACAAAAGCTTAAAAATGGTAATTTTTCGACCATTTGTAACATTTAAAAGTACCACGGGGCATCCATCTTTTTTTACGGTTTTTGGACCTGTAAAGTTTAGGTTAATTGACTCCCATTTTTCATTCAGTTGTCCAATTTAATTCGGGTTTGTGGTACCCCGCTAATAAAGTCTTCTTGTGGCTATGCTTACAATTATAACTTTCTTCTGACTAACTTAAGTGTAGGCTACTTAAGTTATTCCCATAATAGTCCCTTGAAACAAAGTTCAAACATTTAGTTAGCATGGTAGGTATTTAGTTTTATTACAGTAGCCTTAATGTCTCTTGACCGAGCCTCAAACAATCGCTGCTTGTATAATCCGCGTTTGTCTTGGCAAAATGTAGAGGTTGGTTTATTCTCCCTTAATTTGAAACCAAAATATAAATCTAAAGGGTTTTATTCCCATCCTCATCATAGTATTTTAAACGACGGGTACTCTGCTAGTTCAATAATAATCCAATTCCATTTTAAAGAATCCAGAAGAACTCTGTGTAAAAAGCATTAGGTCAAAGCAATAGCCCATAAAGTTGAATTCTCATTATGTCAATTATAATTTTTAACAGTAGCATTCATTAGCATAAAAACACAAACGTTAGATTTTTACTTCTAGATGATCCTGCGTTTAATTAAGTATTGGTCTAGTTTGAAAAATATTTGTTTGGTTTACCCAGTCTATTTCAATTGTTTACCCAACCCCCTATGTTAAACTTCCCTATCCCAAGCGTTAGGGATACTTTACTTCACGAGCGAAGTAAAGTTTCAAAAACTCACTGTTAGTGAAGTAATGAAACCCATTTATATAACATTAAGTGCTCAACTTATAAAAATATACCTCTATGGATCCAACGACCAATGCTAGAAATCAGCTGTGCGCTTGAATTTTATTGTTATGCTTTAAAGAATTTTCTCAACCTAACTTTTGTTTGTAAAAGAACATTACTGTTAGAAGATGAGTGAAATGGATAATGAAAAATATTGTACGTAACCCTCTGTATATTGTCCGGTCAGGTAAAATCTTGTACGTTACACGCTACGCAAGAGCGTGTTTACACCTGCGTGATGTAAAAAACGCTCTTACTACACTTGTAAGATAAATAGCTATTACCATTGACTGTATTAATAGTCAAAGCTATTAAATTACGTAATTATATGTTTCACATGTAATAAGATGTTCCTACATTTGGTTGGTGTCCTCAGTTGTGGAGTATAATGTAGGTTTGCTTTATATTTATTTGGTTTTGAAATAGCTTAGAGTAAACAGGTGGGTTAAGGTAGTTACAGTATTTAGTTGTTGCGTATTTAATTTAACGTAAATTGATGGCTGTGTAAGTATTGTAAATATAGAAGTTTGTTGAAACAAGGTCAAATACAGGAATAAGGTTGTTATGCTGTTGAATCAGGTCGACATTCATTGTTGTAGTTCAATTCAAAATTCATTATTTTCTAAATGTAGCTTATTCAGCTTAAATTTATAAGATTTAGAGTTAATATTTAAATTTGTTTCAGATAAAATTTTATTTAACTCAATTTTTGGGAAAGATGTCAATAAGAAGTTGTAATCCATCATGTAGTCTGAGTAAAAGACAGAAGAACAGAAAGATTGCTTCAAGAATTTTGCTAAGCCGTTACCTTTTATCTGAACGTAGCAATGGTCTTCAAAACCCATGCACCTCTGAAGAAACTGATTCCACCCCAGCTCCTCCATTAGTGAATAATTTTGATGAAGACAATGACACATTTGAGTGTGATCGTGAATATTTGCACACCAGCAGTTCTTCAAGTAATGCTAGTCAAGTAAAAACTCCCACTTGCCATAATTATGTGCAAGATAGAATCGAAGGCAAGTATTATTGGTTATTTAATAGTAATTCATTATTTACATTCATTTTTGTTACGTGTAAAGAAATGAGTAGCCTATCATCAATAAAAATTACTTCTATCAAGTTCAATCTGATCTATCATTAAATAAAAATAACCATTTAATAGAAACTTAAATCGTGCATAAAATTGTACAGGAATAATTAATTACCTGTCTTCAAAAATTCCTTACGTTTGAGCAAATTCGTAAAAAAAAATGAGAAGTAAAATCTGTCTTGCCCGCCTAACAATGAAGCTACTATTTAAGTATAAATAACATGATATGAAATACCCCCGCCACAGCAAACCTGCTGACTAAGCGAATTTCCATTTGTCTGAATAGATTTTCAATTAAATCTATTTAAATAACATTACGTTTAATGAGTACCTAGGTTTGCTGCTACAAGGAAAGTAATAAAGTGTATTTTTAAGTAAAATATTAATAGCTTAGTATAAAATAAATAGATTTGCCAAGTTTGATCAAAATATATCCATAAACAAGCAAATTACAACATTTTACAATATTCTCCATAAGAATAACATAGGAATTTTAAATTAACAATTTTTTTGAATTTTCTCCATTACCAATTACCGTGCAAAAACACTTTGATGTACTAAATTATTTGTTTTTTAAGCTCTTTAAAAAGGTTTAGAGAGAGATTGGGACATTTTGTGCTTTTTGAGGGTAAAAAATTAGATAAACCATTTTTTACTCAAAAAAAGCCCCCATAAAACCCCGTTCCCATGGTCCGATCAAGCTGGTTCGCGAACTCATCCAAGTTCATCTCGCCTTACACCTTTAAACCAAATTTCATCAAAATCGGACAAAAATTACTCAAGTTATCGCGTTCATGGACGTGTATATCTTACTAATATTATAAATGTGAAAGTTTGTGTGTTTATTTGTTTGTTTGTTTGAAGTTCAATCATGCACTAACTACTGGACGGATTGGGCTGAAATTTGGCATGATGATAGCTCACATTCCCGATTATCATATAGGCATATTCTTATCTCAACAATACTTTCGGGCTCCGCCCCAGTGGCTCTGTAGTTCCCCATGTTAACCTTATGAGTATTCATATTTAAAGGGAATTAAAGAATTTAGTCAGCTGTTTCAACTAAAAAGTTGGTTCTATGATGTGCAAAAGCATTAAAAAGTTATAAGATTTACCAACAGGGTGCAGCACTATTGTTTTTTACTTTGAATTTACGAAAACAGCTAATTTGAACCAAGCAGCAACAAAAAACTGTGATACGCAATGAGAACTGTCAAAGTAGGATTGTTTACAGCTATGTTTATATTCTTAATTTCATGAATAATTTGTGATCTTTTGCTAATGTTTTATAATTTATTTTTCTCTATTGTTAAGTGAAATGGTATAACATTATGGCTATGGTAGATGTGTAATACTAATAGTATATCGTAAATTTAAAGAAGCAAATTTTATCAAACAGTATCCTTCCCCATAGCAAACGCAAAGCTTAAGTATAACTGCAATACACATTTTATACTTATATGCCAACCCCGTACGAAGGACGGGTACTCTGCTAGTATATATATATAAATATAAATCTATATGTATATATATATATACATACATAAAAGTTTGAACGGACGGTGTTTTTGGCCTCTGGGGACATCAAAATGAAAAAGTAAATTCGGTCCCGGACCTAGGTCTTACCGTGCCACCTACGGTAATAGCTACTTCCCTATAGGGAAATTCGCTAAAAGGAAGAATATTCTGTAAACAGTGATAGCAGAGCTTTGCAAGTTCATAATTAACATGGATCATAAAATATGCTGTGGTTTTAGGTAGTTCGCTCTATGTAGCAAAGACACCGTCAACATCCAACAATACCTGTGGAGGAATGGAGTGTAGGCAACAGCAACAGATGAAGAAAATGGAAGGTAAAATTTATCATGCGTTCATCATTAATTACAATAGCTATAATAATTTGGCCTAATATACGCACATGACACATTTTTCTCACAAAATTAAAGAGGATTCAAATTTTAAGTTGTACAAATTTTGTTAATGTTTGTGCTAACTATGTTCCAGAACAAATAGAGAGCATGGAAAGAACGGTGCAGCTGATGCTGAAGGAGATGAAGGAGGTGAGGGATTTAGTATCACAGTTTGCCAAGGCTCCTCAATCCATGACTGCGATCGACAATCCATTACAGTTGGAGTTTGGTAGAAAATTTCCTATTAACACACTAGAAGACTTCATCGAGCTAGATGAGTCATTGAAAGATGACGAGACAAAAAATTTGATGGTGAGTTAAATTCACTTTCATAAACAGATGTGATGGAGTTATATCACTGTGAAGAAAGTTTTGTCCGATTGGTTAGTGAAAAACCCTATGTACAATGCCGAAGAGTTCTTGGAGAACACTTTTAACGATTCAATGTCACCATTCTGTGATGAGATCTAAGCCTGTTTATCTGTTCAATTTTAATTTGGCTAAGATATTTTAAATGTGACTTTGCCCATTGCATGTATATGTTTAGCGGCAATAAACGATTCTGATTCTGAAGTTATATCAATTAATCAAAAGTGCTACTGGCTGAGGTAAAACCTGTTAATAAGTAAAAATATATTTTTAGCTGCCTATGAAGTGTAACTTGGACATAATGTTCTAAAAAGTGGGTTTGGCGGGCAAAAAAAAATATTATTATCTATTTGTTTATTTTTTTAATTCAGGTAACTTTTATCACTTTAAGGACTATCGTAGATTAAAGAATAGATAGTGTCTACTCCTTCAATCTATAGGATATTTTTAATACACACGCACATGTTAGTGTTATTGTGTAGGACTGGGACGGTGGGATCGTCCTGTAATCTAGCTACTAGGAGGTTACAAATTGTGGATATTTATAGTCAATCACTGTGGATGCGACACTCCCTGGTGTGGATTAATGTCCGCACTAGTGAGTACTATGACTATTCACAGTACTATGACTTTTCACAGTACTATCCTGATGATTAGACTAATTCGTTAATACCAAGGCAAGAATGTGGTTCGGATTCCACTATAAACCGTGTCCATAGGTCCCTGCCATTAGCTGTTTGGGCTATTAATTAACAGCTGTGTCTAAGGAATATGCCGGCCTTAGTCACTAACAAGACTAAAAGATCGCGCCACTCATCCTTCATTCATATTTGGGTTAAAATACGCACATAGTGATAATTTGGAGGTTATTCATAAATTCCTGGATATTTATCGAAAATGGATACTTGCTCTGGTAAAACCCTTGCTACTTTGTTTATGTTCTGTCCATGGTTGAATTTATCCTGCCGTACATCATATTATTTCACTAATTCTTATTTTGATGAATTAGTACTTTTTATGATTTACATTTACATTTTTATGATGTTATGGACTAATGATAAGCTGTTTATTGGAGATTTCATTAATGAGTAGCTAACATTTTTTCAGAGCGAATTCTGTACAAGAGTCGGTGGTAGCTCTGTTGAGGACTCTGTGAGAAGGATATTGGTGAGAACGATAACCAATGAGGTTGCCATTAGCTTCAGCTGGGAAGGAAGAAAAGGGAAGAGGCCATTAAGCAACCTTGCAATTATAAAAGTTTTGCAAAGTAAGTTTGTTCACGTTATGTATATAATGATTTTACAGGCTGATATTTGGATTAATTATATTTTCATATCCTTCTATCCAACAATGTTTCAATTATACAAACTTAGGTAAGCAATGGATAGGAATTTAAATAAATTACATGTTTAAACATTACAAGATTTCAGTTAGTATACTTCACCGAGGTTCGTGCTTAACAAACCGCTAATGTCTCAAAAACTAGAAATATATAACACATATTGAAATCATGCCGTGTTTCTTTAAAAATTGATTGATTGACTTAAATTACGCAGTTTTAGTAACATAACAGTTTCTACGCAAAAGTTGTAAGTATAAAACTAGTTACAAAATAATATTTTTTGGCCAGATTTGGAATCGCTTGATCAGCCCCAAGATAATCAAGGTTCTAAAATTTAAAAGAAAATCACAATTGTGTTCGGTTTTGTAAAGAATTGGCGTTGGTACAACTTTATATTATGTGGATAGGGTAATAAATTAGAAGTGTACGGTAATTTTAAGCTCTGCAAGTTGATCCTGGTTTCCTGTTCGAGTTTTGCTTCACCAAAACAAACTGTCTACTCTGAGTCTCAGTCTGAGACTTGAATCCGAGTCTTAACAATATTTGCTCTAAAGAAAAACAAATGCATGAACATCGTAGAACTTTGTTTTCATTTACGACAAAAATTAAGTGTATTTTTACTTATTAATAAAAGGTCGACTCGAACTTTCAGTTTTTTTCAAAATGCCTCTAGTTGAGCCGAATAATGGAAAGCTCAACCAAAAAGCACGAAGGTTCTCGACTTTACACCCCTATTTTTTAGAGGGAAAATGGGTAAAACGAATTTTTATCCCTTTCTCCCGTTCATATAGTCCGATCATGCTGGCTGGCGAACTTACATGTAGGTATACAGGTTTATACCAAATTTTATAAAAATTTGATCATTTTTGCTGGAGCTATCATACTAACAGACACATATTATATTCCCTAATAGATACAAATTCAATTATTTTTAGTCTGGCTGTAAGGGAGTACCATGGCACAAACCATTAGCTAAATGTGTTTAATAGGAAGTTAAAGGTTTACAATTTAACGTGACTTTTTAATAAATCTAATAACTGTTGCAATTACCTGCTGTCAAGTGATCCTTGTAACCTTGAAAATCAACCAATTTTGATGATCCACATGGGATCTCTAGGCGGACATCGTCATCTTCATTTCGTTTTTGCAAACACGTAGATTTTTTAAAAACATTGAAACATAATAGTTTTACAAAAATCTTAAACACAACACGCATAAAAATGACCAATAACTATTACCGATCAGTTAACCGGAGGGCGACACGTAAAGCAGCAGTTTAATTTTTTCGATTATACTTTTCTTTTTTTTCACTCGCAACTTAAGCCAACTTTCTTTCCTTTTTTTCTTTTGGTAAACTCATACTCTGTGGGGCATAGCCTAGGCCTATTCTAACCCCTTGTTTGTTTCAGGTTCTCAAGTGTAACCCTGAAGGTAAGCAGGGTGAAACTACTTAAATTTTTTAGCTTGTATAAGTATGTAGTTAAGTGGTTAGTACCCACAGTGTCACGTCAAAATTATCGGTTCCCCACAAACTCCTCTGACTAGGGCGGTGACTATAAAGGTGGTGTCTAGGGACACTTTAGTTGTTCAAAACTCTGATTAACCGAGACTATCAACACTGAGGCTACCCTATTCACTATCGACTCCTGGAGAATCCCAACAACCCAACTCATGCGATTCCTGGGACTTTGTCAATTGTTAAGGTGGCGGAATTTCCTGCGTTACCTTACGAGTTTTCGCCGGCAGGAATTTTGTATAACAATTATTAACTGTATAGCTAAATGTTTTTAAGATAAGGTAATTGGTTTATATAAACAACACACTTTTTCAGAAGTTGTAGCGGCATCGCATCCTCACACCTTCACAATCAAAACTTTTGAAGGAAGGGTGAAGGAATGGTTCAGACAAGCTGGAACAAGGATATTTAACAAAAACAAGCGAGAACTATTGCAGAATTGCAGTCAAACAAACCTGTAATTTATTATAATAAATGTGTATATTATCAACTTTATTACTTGTTGTTTATCTAGTGTTGTCCTTTAGTACCTGTCATTTTTTAAAGTTTATAATAAATGAAGTTTTTTTGATAAAGGTTATGTTTACTACTCTGTTATTCACATTAGTTTTATTATTTGATTATTACCATTTAATATATGTGTGAGTTACAGATTTTTCTTTTACAATACACGGATTATATCAGTCAATCAATCAATTATTTAAGATGGGGACCCCACTATGTGCGTATTTTAACCCAAATATGAGTGTAGGATGAGTGGCGAAATCTTGTAGTCTTTGTTAGGGACTAAGGCCAACATATTCCTTAGACACAGCTGTTAATTAATAGCCCAAACAGATTTTGGTAACTAAGGGACCTACAGTTTTTAGTGGAATCCGAACCATATTTTTGTCTTGGTATTAACAAATTGGTCTAACTATCAGGATAGTACTGTGGATAGTCGTAGTACTCACTAGTGCGAACATTAATCCACACCAGGGAGTATTGCATACACAGTGCACGCACTTAAATATCCACAATTTGTGACCTCCTAGTAGCTGGATTACAGGACGACACCACCGACCCAGTCTTATTTTATTATTATCCCACAGTCCATAATTTTTCCTTAATACCCGACAGCAATTTTATGAATTTTGAAGGTTTTTTGATGTCATGTTATTGTATACATAGATTTAAAATTGAAGTATCTTTTGCGCAAATGAACCTGTACGTTGATGTACAGTTTAGGTAAATGTTGATCTAATATTGAAGTATAGATTACATAAACGAATGTATACATTACTCTAATTTTGACGAATAGTTTACAAAACGAATATATATGTTGACCTATTGACTTATTGTTTATGTAAACAAACGTCTACGTTGACCAAAGATTTACGTATATCCACACACTGGAGTGGGACGTCTATACGTTCTATTTACATATTGTATATTAAGTGTATACACACTCTCAGTGTTGACCTTAGCTGGATTCTAATAAATACGTATTATTTACTAAGTTGTGCTTACTGGGATATGTACTTGAGCCCCTTAATCTTTTAAGTGTTGAAATGTACATAGAGAAAATGTAAAAGATGGGGGGGGGAAAATGTAGTAATGTTAATTTTAATTCTGCCGGAACCTATCAAAACTTTGTTCCACTAACTTGTGAGCACATGTATATTCTTTTTACATCTTCTGTTTTAAACCATGATTCATCAAATATACAAACTAGCTGAGTTATATGTATACACACAGCTACAATGATCACTCATCATTAGTTGACATTCAAATCACTCCTGAAGTTACAGAAGTTCCAAACTGTGTCAAACTGCTATAATTCAGCATCAAACGATGAACATGGTTCTTTTATGATGAACAAATTTGCCAGTGCATGTCCAACATAATTTCAACATATTAAGAGCTCTTTTTTATTTACAAGCCAATTGCATTTAACATTTTGATCTGAACATTTTAACGTTTTTACCTACTTGACCTTGACACAAATTAGTCACTGTTACAATATACAGGGTGGCTGAAAAGTAACTTGCACCCCCCCCCCCCCTTAACTTTTCAACCATTTGAGATATTTGAAATCGGTTTGCGGCAACCTTCTTAGATATGAGGGGCCACAATATTTATGGTCAATTTTGAAAATTTTGCCCTTAAGGGTAGCGGGGGTTGGGGGTAGCTCAAAATTTTCAAATGACAAGTATAAACAAGTTCGGTATTATTTTACAGGTCTTGACGAAACATGAACATTGACATTAAGATAACCAAAATCGGCTAACTTATAACAAAATGGCGCCCTAAAACGTTTCAAATCCAAATAACCGTGAGGGTGGCAAAATTATTAACTTGCCCCCTCTTTAACTTTTTAACTATTTGAGATAATTGAAATCGGTTTGTGGCAACTTGTTTGGAAATAAAGGGCTACAATAATTATGGTCAGTTTAGAAAATTTTTCCCTTAGGGTAGCGGGGGTAGGCTAAGGGGTAGCTCAACATTTTCAAATAGCTAGTATAGTAGAGTTTGCTATCATTTTGTAGGTCTTGACGAAACATAACAATTAACATAAAGAAAATAGAAATCGGACCATTAATAACAAAATGGCAGCTATAAATTACTTTAAATAACCATTGTCTCAATCATTTTTAGCTGCCATTTTGTTATTAGTGGTCCGATTTATATTTTCTTTATGTTAATTGTTATGTTTCGTCAAGACCTACAAAATGATACCAAACTCGACCATAGTTGCTATTCGAGAATTTTGAGCTACCCCCTACCCCTGCTAGGCCTACCCTAAGGGCAAAATTTTCTAAACTGACCATAATTATTGTAGCCCTTCATTTCCAAACAAGTTGCCGCAAACCGATTTCAAATAGTTAAAAAGTTAAAGAGGGTGCAAGTTAATTTTTTTGCCACCCTCATGGTTATTTGGATTTGAAACGTTTTAGGGCGCCATTTTGTTATGAACCATAGTGAGCCGATATTGGTTTTCTTTATGTCAATGTTCATGTTTCTTCAAGACCTGTAAAATGATACCAAACTCGACTATACTTGTTATTTGAAAATTTTGAGCTACCCCCTACCCCCGACCCCTAAGGGAAACATTTTCAAAATTGACCATAATTATTGTAGCCCTTCATATCTAAGAAGGTTGCCGCAAACTGATTTCAAATATCTCAAATGGTTGAAAAGTTAAGTGGGGGGTGCAAGTTACTTTTCAGCCACCCTGTATAGCCAAATACAAAGCATACTATGCTATCTAGATATCTCATCAGATACAAAATAGTTTACAGCAGGTTTCTTTTCGGTGTAAGTAAATGTTTACTTACTTCTTCTAGCTAACTTTAACCTGAGAGTGTAAATTAAAATTTACCCAACATTTAGTATGACGAGTGCACTAAATCATATTTAACATTAAACACACATCAATCTGACTACATATTCCAAACTAGGACGAGAAATCTACTTTCAGTATCAACTGATCTTATATTTTTATAGGCTCTACTTGTGACCTACCTTACTGGTTTTCAGTTTGTACAACACTTGTAAGGTGCCAGCAGAAGCGTCCCAAAACTTGATACTACCATCAGCATGACTGTTTCAAAAGACAATGGATTAGTAAAAATATAAATTAAGTAATAAAGGGATGAGCCTGAAACAATTATTTAAAAGTAAAAATCAACCATGGAAAAAAACTAACCTCCCTAGTAAAAGCTATGTTACACCTAATATGATCAAATAGACATAAAATTGATAACCAAAGGGGCAGACAATGAAGTATTTTAAAAATATGATTTATTTAAAGTTATAGGGTGTTTAATCTGTATGAAATAATATCACCACTATATGAACGAATATTTTGATAAGTTTTATTTACAAATGAAACAAGAGGTGTGTTGAATCATAACATAGTCAAAAACTGAACGTTTAACAAAAACAAGCAACAGCTGTTACAAAATAAATATTACAATAAAGTATAGACTAAAGGCAACACAGCTGTGGCTAAGTTGACGCCACAAAGTCAATCATTAGATACGTGCGAAACTAGCACACCAGCTACATATTAGTAATGTGACATGTTAGTTTCATTCGAGATAATTTATGTTAATTCATTCGGGGAGAACCAAATGAAAATACCACTACTTGTCAATCAATAAATACAGTTAATTGTCAAAATAGTTTTTGAGAAAAAATAGCAACACTGAAATAACAATAAAAATAATATTAAAATGGATAGAAGTGTAGCCATATGGTAAAAATGGGAATCTGAATAAGAGTGAAAAGATAGGAGAATGAGCAAGAGACACCAGCTTATTATTAGTCTGGAGAAATGTAATGAGCTGTCTCGCACACTCATGTAAACAACACACACACACACAAACATTCTCTCTCCCCCCATCACCCCCTCTCAATGTCTAGTACATGTTTTGCACGACCCTCATTCTCTATTGTTTTGTCTCATCTCTGATAATGTGAAACACAATTTGCCATCGCAATCAGTGTCACTTGCATAACCTAACTACTAAAACTGAGTTTGAACAGATAGGGACATTGTTGTTAGAAATAGTTAACCATCCTTTGAAATTATTGGCTGTATAAATGTAGTTTTCACGTCTATTTTGTTACATTTTATTTAACATCGTAGTTTTAACTGAATTGATGTACAGTGTGGCTTAAAAGTCCATTTACACTTAGGGTAAAAACACACATACAGCGATCCAGGAGCGGAGCGAATGAGACTGACGTCGCAAGCATGCAGCGACTAGCAAGAGCAACACGAATGAGAGCTCGATCATTTCCAAGATATCACATAGTAAGTTCGCACGTAATTTGCATCACGGCGAAAACACGTGGCAAAAAAAATTCATTTTGCGTTCTTTAAACCGATCGGGGTGGTTTCATGGAGTGAATGGAGGAAGGAAGGTACATTGTGAATATCACCACTTGTTACACTTTTTAAAGAAGCATTAATCGCGGTTCATGTTACCTCAACCTCTGAATACATTCTTTCAAAAGGAGAAGGTTCCAAAACGCTTTGGGTAGGTTCCGTTTCCGGTAGAATGGGCGTACAGAACGGACTACTGGCTGCAGCAATTCATCTGTAGGGCAAACTACAACTCAAGGAAATTGATTGACATTAACTATAACAGACAGACTCACCCGGTGAGGATGATCTCATTGTAACTACAGGATGTAGGGCTCCATTCTCCCCCGGATATCGGCCACTCTCTCTCACTAAAGCCTGTCCTCTTCTGTGTGCGTGATCCGACAGAGTAGAACGCAGGTATCAGGTCACTGGAAAAAATGTTACAACTTATAAAGAAACCATGAATATTTGTATGAATTAACAACAACATTAATTAAGTATAGTACAATGTCTACCTTGCCTAAAAAATGTAATACTTGGAGTCTTAAATCAACTGTTGTACAATATTGGAAAAACAACAATACAGTACTGTATACTCTTGTTTGGATCGGATTG